CTAACCATCAAACCTGGAGCAATCACCATCGGCGGATTAGTGGCGCAGCGGGCGATAGTCGACATGGGTGCAGCAAGCTACAGCTCAAGAAGATGGGCCGGCTAATCACGGAGGGGTACTTACTGATGACCGCGGAGGGGAGCGAGGCCAAGTGGATGCCGAAGACCAGGCAACCAATGGCGTTGGTGATGAACCCAGGAACACCTGAGGAATGTGCAATGCGGGTGTGTTGCGGAGTGTCGGAGTCAGAGGATTTCGATCTCCTGATCGGAGTGGAGTTCGTGTTCGGCGTGGGCTCTACAATCTGCATGTGGGAAGAGAAGGTGGAGTACAGGGTACGATACTGGGAGAAACGCGGTCCCATCGGCACGCTGTCGGTGCGATTCGTGAGGAGAGAACCGAGGGAAGCGTACCAATGCTCGGAGACTGAGCTGCGGGAAGAGCTGGGAGTAATAAGCTGGTAGCAGATCGCCAGAATGCCGAGACCGGTCGGTGCGCAGGCAGAGATGGAGATGGACCTAAAGCCCCTGTGCACAAACACAAAGAGTCTGTTGGGGCCTGTTGTAGTACTGGACCTTTTCGGAGGGATTGGCACGGGGCTGGCGGCGCTGTTGAAGGCCAGGGCCAAGGTGGATAAGTGGATCCTGGTGGAGAAGGATCCAGGGGCGGTAAAAATGGCCTGGTGGCACGCGGAGCAGCTGCAGAAAAGGTATCCACACCAGCTCACCAAAGGAGACTTGGAGGAAAGCATGATGTGCGGGAGTAGTGACATTTGCCACGTGAACGAGGACATGATAAGGCGCTGGCGGAAGATTGACGTGGTAGTTGCGGGATGGGAGTGTCAGGGCTATTCGCGGGCAGGAGCAGGCAAGGGGATGCAGGATGAGAGAAGCAGGCTCTTTTGGGAGCTGGTGCGCGTGCTGAAGCTGATTAAAAGGGTTCAGGGGGATGTACTGTACATCGTGGAGAATGTGGACATGGAGGGGGACGTGAGGGAACATGTGCAAGTCGCGCATGAAGAAGTGACACGGGGGCTGGGCCCCGGGGTGGCCGCTGACGCGGCGCAAGCAGGAAGTAGGACCCACCAGGTTCGCAGATATTGGACTAACGGAGTGAGCACGGTTGCTCTTCAGTTCCGCCTATTCCTCATGGAGAGACCAGTGCCATTGCTAGTAGAGGACATATTAGAAGTTGGGAGGATGCCCGCACCCGTGACTCAACCGGACCACCCAGCCCAGTTCCCATGCAACGAAGTAGGGAAGCCGCGGCAGGCTTGGCCGACCTTTGTCTCGTTCGAGAATGCGGCAGCGTTTAAGATGCAGGAGGGAGAGCCGGGACCAGGCATGGTGTACAACTGCACAGCACAGGAGTGGCAGGAACCCACGGCCTTGGAGCGGGAGCTGGCCATGGGCTTCATGGAAGTCGCGACGGCACATCCAGAGGTGTCGGAGAAGGAGCGGCGAAGGGCACTGGGGAGGGCGATGGACCTCAACATGATGCACTGGTTGGTGGCAACGATAAGGATGTACCACTCGCAGCTGTGGTGGGAGAGAAAGAGAGACAAGGCCGCGGCTGTAAGGCCTCCGACGGAAAGGTCGGCGGCGAAGGAGGCGTTGGTAAGAGCAATGCTGGGAGAGATGGAGGAAAATGAGGAAGCACAACACTCGCTGGGGTTCCCGGTGGAGAGGAGATGGGTCTATCCGTGGGAGGAAGAGGATGACGTGCCCATGCAATATGTAGAGCAGGCGGAGATCAGACTATTGGGAGACATGGAAGAGGCAGCGGTGGACAAGAAGAGAGAGGACTTCAGCTGGCTGGAAGAGGCAATCGAGAGGCAAAGGAGCAGGGAGAGCTACGAACGGGAGTTCGGTTCCTCGGGCTATGAGTTTGCGCTAATGGCAGTAACGAAGGAGGAAGAGAAGGAGGGAGAAAGCTCGGAGGCAGACGAGAACGTGGGGTGCAGAGCGGCACCAACGGAGGAGGTCAGGGCGGAGGGAGAAGGGAGCCAGGGACCGGTGGAGAAGGAGAGGAACCAGCAGGATCCAGGGGCGGAGGAAAAGGCGTGGCAAATAGGGGAGGGCATGGCGGAGGAAGATGCGACAGCACTCAAGGAGGTGCTAACACGGTTCAGATCAGCATTCGCGTATACCCTGAAGGAGGTGGGGAGGTGCAAGATGGCGGAAGTAACCATTGAGCTCACCACGGCGATACCCGTCAACCAGAGGCGGCGGAGGATGACGCCAGAGGAGATCAAGATCTGCACGGAGAAATGCCAAGAGCTGATGGAGGTGGGGTTTATAAGGAAATCAAACTCAGAGTACGCAGCAGCCACAGTGGTAGCGGCTAGAACGGATCTAACGGGGCAGGTGATATCCAAACGCATGTGCGGTGATTACAGGGGCTTGAACAAGGTGACGATCATGAAGTGATACCAGACGCCGATGCCGGATGAGATCTTTGATCAACTGGCAGAAGCGGTGGTCTTCTCTACGCTGGATCTGCGACAGGGGTTAAATCAGATTCCTATAGCGGAGGCGGACAAGAAGAAAACAACATTTCACGCGCCGGATGGGCAGTACAAGTGGCACACCCTGCCATTCGGTTTGAAGTCGGCCTCGCCGGAGTTTCAGAGGGTTATGGATCAGGTGCTGCGGAATGTTCCAAACGCAGCATGTTACATTGATGACGTCATAGTGTTCAGCATGGATAGTAAGTCAGATGTGCAGGACGTGGAGGCAGCGCTCAGGGCCATTCAGGAGGCAGGGCTGACGTGTCACCCAGGGAAGTGCAGATTCGGGCAGAGAACGGTGGAATACTTGGGTTTCGAGGTGGAAGGGGGACAGATAGGCATTCAACAGGCAAAGGTGGAGGTGCTGGATCGGGTGGCAGTCCCTAAAGACAAGAGCACCCTTCGATCGCTGCTAGGCTTCCTGAACTACTACAGGAAGTTCGTGCCGAACTTCAGCAGACGAGCTATGCCTCTGAACCACCTCCTACGCGAGGATCAGAAGTGGGAATGGGGGCCGGAACAGGAACAGGCGGTGCAGGACCTGATGGGAGTAGTTAAGAGCGGAGCAGTCCTGGAGCTGCCGAAGGCAGAACTGCCTTTCACGCTGTACACCGACTGGAGCAGCGCAGGTATGGGAGCAGTACTGGCGCAGATGAAAGGGGAGGTGGAGAAGGTGGTGGCGTTTGCAAGTCGTAGCTGCAACGCAGCGGAAGCCAATTACTCATCGTACGAAGGAGAGGGTTTGGCGGTGGTATGGGCGGTGAAGCACTTCCGCGTATACCTTCATGGCAGGAAGTTCACGCTGGTGACAGATCACCAGCCTCTGCTATGGCTGATGCTGACCCCGGACTTAACAGGACGGAACGCGAGATGGGCAATGAAGCTCCAAGAGTACGACTTCGAGATCAAGCATCGTCTGCGCAAAACGATGCAACACGTGGACGGCTTGTCACGCAACCCACCAGAGGTGCAGCCGTCGGCATGCCTGATGGCTATGGCGAAGGGAGCGGACCGAGAAAGGGAATGGGGAGAGAAGAAGGGGGGACCAGCTGATATCTGGGAAGACACGGAAGCGCTGGCCTGGATTCAGGGGCGGAAGGGGCGGCCTCCGCAAGAGTGCGGGCAAGAGGGGAATACTACAGATGGTTTAAGGGGCAAGTACAGCTACGGACGGGAGAAGGGTGGAAGCACGGCAGCACCGGGAGAAAGGGAGGGGGTCATTCGGGAGGTACACGAGAATCTGGGACACTGTGGACCGCTAAGGACGCAGCAGCTGGTGCAGACGGGATGGTGGTGGGCAAGCATGCGGAGGCAGATCAAGGATTGGGTGTGGCGCTGTGAGGCCTGCTGTAGGAACCGAGCGGTAATGGAGCGAAAAAAAGGCCGAGCTTCAACCCCTCCCCATAGTCAGCCTGGGCTACAGGTGGTCCTTGGATATTGCGGGGGAACTACCTGTCACGACCAAGGGGAGGAGGTACATTCTCTTGATGGTGGAGCACGTGAGCAAATGGGCTGAGGCGAAACCACTCGTGCACAAGACAGCAGAAGCGGTGGCTGAGGCTTTTGAAGAGATGGTGGTCACACGACTGGGGGCATGCGGGGAGGTGCTGACAGATCAGGGGACGGAGTTTCAGGGAGCCTTCGATGAGCTGTTGAAGGCCAGTGGTATCAGGCACCGAACCACCTCGCGCTATCATCCACAAAGCGACGGGCTGACGGAGAGACTGGTGCAGACAGTGAAAAAGGGGCTGCGGGCGTACGGGGAAGAGCACAAACGAGATTCGGACAAAAAGTTGTGCTGGGTAATGGCGGGCTACAGGTTCAGCAAGCAGGCTGCCCTCAAGGACGTCTCGCCGTACTACTTGCTCTTCGGAAAAGAGCCGCTGATGCCTGTGGAGGCGCCTAAGCTGTTGGTGGACGTGGTGACAACAGGCTCCGCTGAAAGGTGGATTGCGGTAGCAGAAGCCAGGGCAGCCTACCTCCGTCAGCTACTTCCGGCGGCTCTGGAGAATCTGCATGTTGCCCAGTTACGTGACATCGAGAGGTACAAGCAGAGACAGGAAGCAGGGGGCACCAGAACCAGGCCAGGTGTTCAGGAAGGAGAAGAAGTGTATCTGAGGAGGCCCCGTAAACATGCACTGGATGTGGGCCTCTCGCAGCAGCGCCGGACCGTGAGAGAAGTGAAGCCGTCAAGGGTGATAGTGCTGGAAGATGGGAAGGGCAAGCGAGTTGCAGACCATGTCACCAATATAGCCAGGATCCGCAGCGAGAAGGAGAAAGCAGGATCATCTGGTCCCATGACGTGCTCGAGGACGGCTGCAATACGACATGGGAAGGGGCAGGAAGGGTCAGAACAGCAGCAAACCACATGCAAGGGCAAGGAGAAAGTGGGGTGAAGGCAGCCAAGGGAGAAGAAAAGGGGGTGGAGAGAAGATGGTGAGAGACGAAGGAGGGGATTCGGTACAAGAGGATTAGCCAGAGGGGCAGCAGGTTACCAAGGGAGAAAGAGGTGAAGGGCGAGAAAAGGGGTAAGAAGGTCAGCAGTGTGGGGATGAGGAAAGGAGGCACTGGGGGAAGCATCTTAGCCGCAGAAAAGGCAGAACAGTAGGGACAGAGGGGAGGAATTCCGACAGCTGTCAGATTCCTAGGCGATCGCCAAAGTAATTATGACAGAGGGTGTTTGGGTGCGGGTATACTGGGGAGCACTGTATATACTGTACATAACCGAGGAACCGAGCAGCGAGGATGGGAAGGACCGACAGGCTGGCGGGCGGGCAACTTGGCAGTGTGGGAGGCGAGGGTGGCGAAGACGGAAGTGGTTACAATGTTCTCAGAAGAGAGGGGAAGTGTGCGGTGGCGAATGTGATGCTTGTGTGCTTGCATGTGTTTGTTTTCGTTTGTCTTGCAGACACCGAGTCTAGGATAAGCTGGAAGTCACCATTGCCAGCTGGAGGATGCAGTGTGAAGACCTGGGTGGCAAGCTAGGTTATATGCTCTTGTAGAGTCCTATCCAGGGTTGGTTGTGGGAAGCTTAAGGGGAACCTGGGCCATGGGACTGCCACTGTTTGTATGTTTTCGTGTTTACTGTGATTTCTTTACTTCAAGATAAGCAGTACCTAACGAAGCCACAACAACAGTCAGGATGGGTTAGGAAGGATCAGAGCTTGGAAGGGTCAGAACAGCAGCAAACCGCACGCAAGGGCAAGGAGAAAGTGGGGTGAAGGCAGCCAAGGGAGAAGAAAAGGGGGTGGAGAGAAGACGGTGAGAGACGAAGGAGGGGATTTGGTACAAGAGGATTAGCCAGAGGGGCAGCAGGTTACCAAGGGAGAAAGAGGTGAAGGGCGAGAAAAGGGGTAAGAAGGTCAGCAGTGTGGGGATGAGGAAAGGAGGCACTGGGGGAAGCATCTCAGCCGCAGAAAAGGCAGAACAGTAGGGACAGAGGGGAGGAATTCCGACACAGACGAACGGAGAGAAAGAGAAAGAGTGTGTGGGCATGCACTGCATGGAAGGGGAGCAGCTTGTGCGAACAAGTGCCGTTGAAATGGATGAAGAGGCAGTGGGACCTATGGTGGGGGTGAGTGTTGGAGAGAGACAGGGTGTGGGCAAGCCAGGCATGAAAGTGAGTTGATTATGCGAGCTGGCGCTATCAAAGTGGAGAAGAGGCAGAGGGACATACTGTGGAGGCGAGCGGAGAGAGACAGAGAAAGGGTGGGAGCAGGCAATGCACAAAAAACAAACTCCCTCCGAAATCCCTGGATAGCTGGCACCAGCATGCAGGCTCCACGACCCGGCATGTGCGCGAGTGTGGAATTGTAGTTGGTGTTGACTTTAACAGAAAAGAAACAGTCATGTGATACGATATCCCAAGGTCAGTAGGACATTAGCATTGCACCAGCCCTAGCTGACCTAATAAAGAGAAGGCGGCTCCAGTGCGAGCCTACCTCAGCAAGTGCGTGGCTGTTGTTGCCGTTGACCTTCCGGGGAATAGCAACGTACGTGCGGTGCTACAAGTGGCACCAGCCCTAGCTGACCTGATAAAGAGAAGGCGGCTCCAGTGCGAGCCCGCCTCTGCGAGTGTGGGGTCGTTGCCGTCGTTGACTGATAGGGCGATGAGCTGCCATGCAGCACGGAGGGAGGAGGCAAGGAGAGTTGTTGAACAAGGGAGGCAATGCGAAGATAATTTGAACGAGTGTGGGGTCGTTATTGTCGTTGACTACCAGGCCGATGAGCTGCCATGAAGCACCGAAAGGGGGGGGGGGGGGGGGGGGGGGGGGGGGGGGAGGGGGGGGGCAGGCAGTGAAGTGAAGGGGGCCAACATTGACCAGGTGACTTTTGAGTCGACTCAAAAAGTCACCTCAGGAGGCAGGCAGAGAAGTGAAGGGGACCAACATTGACCATGCGATGGGGTGTTGTTGGGTTGACTGCGAGGGCGATGAATTGCCATGAAGCAAGGCGAGAGGGGCAAGGGGGAGGAGGCAATAGGAAGCAAAATAGAAATGTTAATCAAGGGGAAGGCATTGAGCGAGTAGCTGTTATTGTTGACTGCCAGGGCGATGAGCTGCCATGAAGTAAGGGGAGAGGGGGAGAGGAGAGGGAGGCAGTGAAGGGGGCAGCATGAGACGTGATAGGGTCATCGCTATCACTACCTGCAATGGATATGAGCGAGCTGCAGAGAGGAATTGACAGAGCCAGATACAGGATAGAGATGATGGGGAATAGAATATGGTGGGATTTGAACCGATGTGAGTTGGATTGTAATGAGTTGGAAGGGATACTACTGGGTAATGCGAGATGGTCGTTGCTAGTTACGATTCATTCCAAGAGCAAGGAGCTGCTGTGGAACAAGGCCTATACACCCTGGACTGGATAGGATGATGAGAGGTTACAGTAGAAAACAAAAAATGGGGAGGAAAAGAATGTCATGGAAAGGAGGATGTTGATGATAGTGAATGAAACCATGAGACATCAGAGGTGACTTTGAGTGGACTCAAAAGTCATGGAATGAATCGGATGGTGCAGAACGCAATGCCACCCAGAATTTGCCCTTCCTCCTTTCCCTTCAGAGGCCTCCCCCCCTTTCGCTTCTTCCACCAACACCAACACCAAAACCACCTAGTTACCGTACCTCCTTGTTCTCCACGCCCAGGGGAGCCATGGAAAAGCCGTGAAGTGCGTGACAGAAACGGATGGAATAAAATTAGACCAGCACGCCCTACCTCCTTGCTTTCCATGCCCAGGGGAGCCATGGTCTCGGTGACGTCATCGTCGCTCGGACAGATGTTGAGCCAGAACAAAATCGACGGGCCAACCAGCAGTACCGTGCTGCTGCTAGTTCCCTCCCCTCCCGCCGCACCAGCAGTACCAGCAGCACCATCGGCGCCGTTGCTGCTGCTGCTTTCTCCTCCCGCGCTGCTGCTAGTTGTCCCATTCGCAGCGCCAGCGGAAGCGCCGGCGGCGGAAGCAGAGGGGTGGGATGCACCGAGGAGGGTTCGCAAGAGGTATTCGAAGTAGAATTCGATTATCTTGTCGTTGAGCCATTGCGACGGCTCGAGCGTCGCACGCGCGCAGAAGGACGTCGCCGAAGCTCAGCACCTTTGCATCCATGATGGTTGGTGACGACGAGATGACTGTACCAAGATGTGAGAATGACGCGAGGTGAAGGTCGATATCGAGACGAGCGCTCTAATGACAAAAATATTGAAAGAATGTTCGAGTAACGAATGTCACGTGGTGAAGTGAAGAATGCGGTAATTAAAAGAATGTGAATGAATGTGGTGATTCTCGCCGGGGCCCTGACTCTTCCCTCTCCTTCCCAACCTATTCCCGCACCCGCTCTGTCACGTCTTGAAATCTCCGTATGAAACTTTCTTTCCTCCTCGACCTGATCCCAAAACGAATCGTCTATGATCAGGTCTCTCGCGATATACCCCTCCCAACAAGTTCTCGCCTTGTCAACACAACGGGCCCTCCGACGTTTCGGCGTCACCTCGGCCGCGTCCATTGCCCGTGCCTCCTCCACGCTCCTCTACGGACTCCATGCCTTCCTCGCCCATGCAGATATTACAATGCGCAACAATTTACCTTCGAAATACACCCCACGTGGTCTCGCGGAACTACACGCCTGCATCTCCCTTGCCCCCAGTATTCTCCCCCCCCCCCCCCCCCCCAAGGCTAATTTCCGCTTGCCTCTTAGAGGAACCCCTCGCCTTCAACCGCTTCATCGTCCGTCTCGACGGCAAACCCTTTGGCGGCCTCAGGGAAGAACTCTTCATTTGTCTCTTGAGCTACGTTTCGGCCACTTCGTCCGTATTACCCCCGCATTAGCCTGTCCTATCTTGGAAAATGGATTCATCACGTTGTTCCCCCCCCCCCCCCCCCGTGAGGATCGATAGGATCGAGTTCAGAAATGAGGATATGTATTGATTGATCCACCTGGGTACAACACGAGGCTATATATAGTCTCGACACAAGGCCAGTAACCCAGGTGTTACGCGAAGGTTCAGAGGGTCGCGAAGCGTCCCGAATGGATCCTTCCCGAATTCGGTAGGCCTGGAACGGTGCACGCAACCTGGTTCGGTGCTATAACTATAATAAAATATAGGAAATCACCTAGCCTAGGCAATCAAGCAAAAGCATGCATGATAAAAGAAATCTAAGCTATATATAGCAGAATAAGGTCAAGGCAAGCAAGCAAAACTAGCATAAGCCGTCGTACTCTCACACGTCCCCACCTCAAAGCTAGGTGGCATGAGAAACACCCTGTTTGACAATATAATCCTTGAGAGCACGGCGTGCGTTGCCCATATCAGCCTCTGCAACCCAACTAATCTCTGACGGGTCATATCCCTTCCAGCGTATCAGGAACTCGAGTGTCTTGCCGCCGCCGCACCGATGAGTAAGAACGCGTTCCACCTCATACTCTAATTCATACTGTACGAGCACAGGGGGTGGCGGTGGTAGCTGCCGTCCCTGGAACTGTTGATTGGGATCCTTGTAGGGCTTTAGTAGCTGAACATGGGAAGCTTTGTGAAGCTTCCACGTAGTAGGTAAGCGCAAGCGGAATGTTACTGGTGTCACCTTCTCTTCAACGTGAAAGGGACCACAGAAGCGAGGCCGGAGATTGGACGGTAGATGGGACAAATCCAAGTTGTGCGTGTCGAGAAGCACCTGATCTCTGACTGCTATTGAGTGATGACGTCGCTGTCGATTGGCATACTACTTCTGGGAGTTCTGCATCGTGGTGAGACATCGCTGAGTCTTCTCCCATAGCTGCTGCATGGTGGTGACGAAGTCATGTGCAGCTTGGACATGTGCAGGTGTGGTTGGTTGCTGCGGTGTAAGTGGTTCCCGTCCGTAACACAGGAAGAAAGGAGATTTCCTTGTGGCCGCATGTGACGCGTTGTTGTAAGCGAACTCAAGTGTTGGTAACTGTAGATCCCAGTGGCTGATGTCATCTTTGCAAGCTGTGTGCAGTAACTGTTCAACCACCTGATTGAGTCACTCAGTGTGTCCGTCTGTCTGAGGGTGGTGCGCTGAAGACATCGCAAGCTTTGTCCCCTATAACCCCATGAGTTCCCTCCATAACTTACTAGTGAATATTGGGTCTCTGTCTGAGATAAGTGTAGCGGGGATGCCGTGGATGGTAATGATGCGGTCGAAGAAGAGGCGAGCAGTTGCTTCAGCTGTAGACGTGGCGTTGGTCGGAATGAAGTGTCCCATTTTAGAGAACTTGTCGATCACCACGAGTATAGCGTCATGCCTTCGTGAGGTTGAAGGAAGTCCAGTGATGAAATCTAGGCTAACGACTTGCCATGGCTGCTCCGGTACGGGCAGAGGCTGAAGTAACCCTGCTTTTTTCTGCTTGCTACTCTTCATCCGCTGGCACGTGTCGCATGAGGTGACGAACTGCTGCACGCCTGCTGCCATCCGGGGCCATTAGTAACATTTTGCTATTCCCGCTAACATCTTGTTACTCCCGAAATGTCCCGCGTATGCCACGTCGTGAAACTCATCCAGTAAAAGTTGTCGGAGTGGGGCATAGTTGGGTACCCAAATCTTTCATGAACCCTTCCTTACAGCTAAGTCTTTCTCCCACTGTAACGGCTTCTGTTTCTGTGCCGTAGTTATCTTTGCATCCACGGAGTACCCATGTTGGAACAGACCCTTGAGCAGAGGGTTCATCCCGTCGAGCTGGATGCCTGGTACATGTCCTGGGCGGCTCAGCGCGTCGGCCTTGTTGTGTAGCCCTGGTTTGTAGACGAAGTCGTAGTGGGAGTGAGTTTCCAAGAAGTCCACCCACCGCACATGTCGTCGTGAGAGCGTCGGCTGCGACTTGAGGTATTTGAGACTGCAGTGGTCAGTATAGATTGTAGTTTCGGCTCCCTCTAGGTAACACCTCCACGCCTTAAAGACTGGGACTATCGCTAAGGCTTCCTTGTGATGGATTGGGTAGTTTAGTTCTGCTCCATGTAGCTTCTTACTGAGATAGGCGATGGGCTGCAAACCGCGTCCGTGATCCTGCATCAGTACTGCTCCGACTGTCTGGTCACTAGCGTCTGCTTCCACCATGTAGTCTTTGGCGCTGTAGTCAGTGCTGTCTGTAGCTGCTCCATGGCTTGTTGTTGAGGAGTATACCATTTATATGGTGTATCCTTCTTCAGTAAGTTCGTCAGTGGCGCTGTTATCTTAGCGTATTGTGGTATGAACCGGTTGTAGTAGTTGGCAAAGCCTAGGAGCTGCTGCAACTCCTTCACGTTCTCAGGAACTTTACACTTCTTGACGGCTTCGATCTTCCGTGGGTCAACGTATACGCCCTCGGCACTCACCATGTGCCCAAGAAACTGCACCTTCTCAGGGCGAAGTCGCTCTTCGACAGCTTCACATAGAACTTGTTCTCTTACTGGATCTCGAAGACTTTCCGCAGATGCTCCACATGCTCCATCATGTTCTTGGAGTAGATGAGGATATCGTCCAGATACACCACCACGCACTCGTGCAGGAGGGGCCGTAGGATGGGATTCATCTCCGCCTAGAACATCGCCGGTGCATTGCAGAGTCCGAACGGCATCACTAAGTATTTGTAGGAGCCGTATCTAGTACGGAACGCCGTCTTGTGGATCGAGTTGTCTGCCATCTTGATCTGCAAGTAACCTGACCGTAGATCCAGCTTCGAAAACACCATTGCACCACGAAGTTGGTCTAGAAGATCGTCTATGCGCGGTATGGGGTATTTGTTCTTGACTGTCTGTTTGTTCAGTGCCCGGTATTCGATGCACATCCGTAAACTACCGTCCGGCTTGGGAGTGAAGAGGACTGGTGCGCCGTACGGAGAGGTGGATGGGCGGATCAGTTTTCTGTCCAGTAGGTATTCAATCTGCTTCTTCATGTCTGTCAGTCCGATCGGACTAAGGCGGTATGGTGCAGAGGAGATGGGTTTCGCACCTGGTTCCTCCACGATCTCGTGCTCGTGGGTTCGGGCTGGAGGTACTCCTGCAAGCAGGTCATCCGACATGATATCTTTGTACTCCGTTAACACCTCCTGTACTGCTGCAGGTAGCTCTGAGTTCGGCTTCTCCTCCTCTGCTGCTGCCATAACCAGTGCTAAATAACCCCTGTATCCGTCCAGCTTCGCAGCTCCACACGTTTCCTGTTGTTGTAGATGCACGCCTTCCGGTTGACCCTGTCGATCTCGGGGTTGAACCGCTTCAAGAAGTCTCGCCCCGTTGATGTTCGTGATCGGCAACGTCGGCTTCCATCTCAACGCACCTATGTGCAGCTGCAGTGATGCTTTGCCATGGATGGGAAGTTTCGTACCGTCCACCATTGTTGTCGTGAACTGGGTTTCCTCCGAAGACTCTCCAATTTTATCCAACGTCCCGCGGTCGCACACCGAGTGGGACACACCACTGTCCACCAGTGCCTGGAGGCGTCGTCGTTTGCATAACACCTCGAGGAGTAGTGGTTTCTGCTGCGCTGAGTAGCCAAAGATAGTATCGTTAATAGGATCCTAGGGTACATCAAAATAATCATTATCCATATTTCCTATACCTGACTCAGCACTCTTTACTTCCAACTTCACCTGGGGGGTAGAAGTTTTTTTCCGAGGCTTGAATAACTTCTCCTGAGCCTGGAACCTTCCCTTAAGCCTTTGCAGCT